CAAATAACGAAAGACAACAAATAGTATGATACTCTCTTCATGAAAGTTCAAAACTAAGCCAAACCGAACAATGTATTTTGTAGGCATGTATATATGAATTATCTTTTTTTTCTTTAAAATACAAAAGTGTGGATGGTGTTGGCCTGGACTTGGGGCTAAGGAGGGCATGAACAGGTGAGGAGCAAGTGGGTAGATGTCAGTCACCATGGTGTCCCATTTATCCTCTTGAGTTTTGCAGTGGGCACACTGGTATTCACGGTATTAATTTAAAAATTATAAATATACATGAATTTTAAAAAGAGGGTCATGCAAAGATCCATGATGATTGTGTGTCATTAACCAAAGATTATTATTAATCCATTCTCTTAATCCATTATTATTAATCCATCCTGAGAAGTCTGCCTTAGCAAAAAAAGTAAACTAATTTTTCTAAAGAGCCATCCGAATGAGAAACTGAAAAGAGTGGGAGGGGTGGTAACTCTATTTTCACTTTTCTCTTCCTGTTTTTTTCAGAGCCTGGGAAAGCAAGTCAGAATTTCCAATCTTTTCCAATTCCCACATGATTTCCTAATTTAGAACAAATTCAAAGAAAATTTAAAAATCTTTCTCCATACGGAGAAGGCTCCGCCGCCTGCAGTGGAACATCCTCATTCTGGGAAGAGGAGGCAGCCCGGGGTGGGGGTGCTCCAGCCCCAGTCCCCATACCCAACCCACACAGACTCGCCTCGGGCTTGGCCTTAAGGGCGATACTCTACTCGCACTGTGGGGTCACACGACAGTTAATTAGTGGAAATGCTTCGGCTTTCCCCTTAGCGGGAGGCCCTGGGAAGACGTGCGGGCGTGGAGGGACGGGAAATGACCCCGCGGGTTCAAGCAGCTCCTGGGGGTCCCGGACCTTCTGAGACACAAGGGCCAGGCTGCGTAGACGAGGCTCTGAGATTTACCCCGGGCGCCCCCTACACCCATTGCCGCCGAGGGCCAGCAGTTTGACGGCATCTTAAGCGGGCGCTTTAGCGCGACAGGTGATGAGCCCTCGGTCAGCTCGCCGGCGGGAGCAGACGAGGCCGTGGGCCTTGGTCGTCCCGTCAGTGCAGCAGGCTCCGCAAAGCTCCTTGATCCAAGCACTGGTGGGAGGTCTGGTCGCTCCCTTTTCCCCCAGCTGCATCTAGACTGGAGTGGATAGGGAATTAAGCAGCAACCACCGAAAGGCACCTTTAGCGATTAGGAAACCTGTGTGAAGCTCAGCCACCCGGCCTTTGCGGGCGCAGCAGACCCGGGGCCTCTCCCTGCGCAGGGCGGGCGGCTGCAGGCTAGCGGCCCTGGCTTTGCTCCAGATGTCCAGGGTGACATCACCAAACTCCGCCGATGGGCGGGAGGGAGCCCGAAATCCCCTGAAAACATAGTGACTAATCGGCGGGCCCGCCCTCCAGGCGGGGCCGGGACCGGGAGCGAGCCGAGTCGCCCGCAGCGATAGCCCTTGGAGCAGCCTCCGGGCGGACGGCCTACATCTCCGTCTAGGCGCGCACTCGTTCCCGGCCCCCGGCGGCGGCGGAGGCGCGCGCGGCCTCTTCCTCTGCTCAGCCCGCACTGGATCCGGGCCCCTGCGCGGGGCGGGGGTGGCGCAGCGCGCAGGCGCGGCCGGATTCCGGGCAGTGACGCGGCGGCGGGCGCGCGCGCCGCATTTCCGCCTCTGGCGAATGGCTCGTCTGTAGCGCACGCCGCGGGCCCAGCTGCGACCCCGGCCCCGCCCCCGGGACCCCGGCCATGGACGGTGAGGGCGCCCTCTGATTCCGCGCGGTGGCTGCGCCGGGGCTGCGGAGCTGTGGCGGGAGCCCCCGCACCGCCTTCCGCCCCTTCCTGCGCCGACGCGCGCTGCGCAGGGAGCGGCCGGCCTGATGGTGGCGCGGGGCGGGGCAGGAGATGAGGGGTCTGACTCAGTTTCCCCTATGGGCGGAGGGGGGCCTTGACTCAGTATCCTCCCTGGGTGGGAGTGCGGGGTGAGCCTTGACTCAGTTTCCCCCCACGGACCATGGGGGCAGTTCTTAGTTTCCTTGTTAGGAGAGAATGTATCTGACTCAGTTTCCTCTCAGGATAAGGGGCGTGGAGCATACCCTTCCTCAGTTTTCCTTATGAAAGGAGAACGGGTCCTGACTCAGTTTCCCTCAGTAGAGAAGGACTCCTTCCAGTTTTCCCTTAGGAAGCAGGTGTTTCTGGCTCCTTTACACGCCCCCCTTAGTTTCACCGCAGGTTCTAGGGAGCAGGTCCTAACTCAGTTTCCCTCGGAGGGATCCTGGCTCCATCTCCCTCCATGGATGGGGAGCAGGTTCTCTCCGGTGAGGATGGGGAGTGGGCTTGTGCTGACCCTTGTCTCCCTCCTCTTTCAGACCTGTTCCCCCTCATCTTCCCCTCAGGTAAGTGGACCTTGCTCCGTGGTTGGGAGGGAGCTCCCCAGGGTTAGGGGGTATGGGGGCAGCCCCCTGACAGGACGGCCCTGTCTCCCTGCAGAGCCAGCCCAGGCTTCTGGCCCCTATGTGGAGATCATCGAGCAGCCCAAGCAGCGGGGCATGCGCTTCCGCTACAAGTGCGAGGGCCGCTCAGCGGGCAGTATTCCAGGCGAGAGGAGCACGGATACCACCAAGACCCACCCCACCATCAAGGTCAGCACCTGCTTCTGGTGATGGAGTGGGGGGCACAGGGTATAGGGGGAAGGCATTGCGGAACCCCAGCAGGCTTGCCTCCAGGCCACCATGCCCTCTGTGTCTGGGAGTCAAGTTTGGAATTCTTGGGCCTCTAGAGTGCTCTCTGTACTTTGGACAGATCAATGGCTACACGGGACCAGGGACAGTTCGCATCTCCCTGGTCACCAAGGACCCCCCTCACCGGCCTCATCCCCATGAGCTTGTGGGGAAGGACTGCCGGGATGGCTTCTATGAGGCTGAGCTCTGCCCCGACCGCTGCATCCACAGGTGAGCTCCGAGCGGGCCAAGGCATGGAGGGTGAGGGGGGGAATAGGAGGCAAGGCAGTCGAGTAGCTACTACAGTGTTACTCTTTTCTGGACATAGGGAGAATTCCTCCCTCCTTACTCTATCCCCAGCTCTGCAAGCAGACTTCCTTTGTTGTGAAATTACCTATTTGTGTGTCCACTCTCTCTAGCAGATGTGAGCTCCATGGGATAGGGATGAGCCCCTACTCACCTCTGAACCCCTGGCCTTCATGACTGGAAGCGCAAGTGCCTGAGTGTCACATCTCCCATATGAGAAGGAAAGCCATTGAACCAAAAGTCTCCCCCGGAGCTGACATTCCAGTTGACAGAGACAGGCCATAAATAAATATACAAATAAATAAATAAGGCATTGTCAGAGAGTAATAATTTCAGTGCTGAAAATAAAGTAGGACAACAGGTTGGAAGGATAACCTGCACGGAGAGAGGCAGGGGAACTGGTCTCATCACTTAGGACTGGGAGGTCAGGGAGGCCTCTCTAGCTAAGATTTGAGTGGTGAGAAAGAGCAGAGAAGCTCAGAACATTCTGAGTGGAATGAACAAGTGCAAAGAGCTTGAAACGGGAATGGGCTTATGTGTTTGGAGAATGGAAAAGAAGCCCCCGTGGCTGAGCGTAGGGAGCCAGCAGTGAGGCTGGCAGGGGCTGGGGCGTGCAGGGGCTTGTCAGCTGAGGTGGATAGAGGAAGAAGGGGCAGACTGGGCAAGGCTTTGCTGGAGACAGTGGGACAGATGCCTGGGGGTGCCTCAGTTTCCAGAACCTGGGGATCCAGTGTGTGAAGAAGCGGGACCTGGAACAGGCCATCAGTCAGCGCATCCAGACCAACAACAACCCCTTCCAAGGTGAGGGCTGTGGAGGCAAAGACCTGAACCTGCCTGCAGCACCCACACCCTCTGTCACCTGCCCCAGTCCTCCTCTGCATGCCTCCCTCATTGGCCAAGACTCACAACACACATGGAACCTTTCGCCTTTGGGAAACGGAGGCCTGGAGATGGGATATGACATTCAGGTTCACAGTGGAGTCAGTGATGGGTTTAGAACCTTGTCTTTCTCCTTCTCTAGGACTTCCATTTCACATACCCACAAAGAGCCCTCCCACCCCAGAGCTCTCTGCACCCCAAAATCCCTGATCTCCACCTCTCCACCCCTGCTCTCCTGACCATCGGTTTTCCTGGCAGTTCCCATAGAAGAGCAGCGTGGCGACTATGACCTGAACGCTGTGCGGCTCTGCTTCCAGGTGACAGTGCGGGATCCATCAGGCAGGCCTCTCCGCCTGCCGCCTGTCCTCTCTCATCCCATCTTTGACAACCGTGAGTGATCAGGGAGCCACAGTAAGGGGAGAGGGGTGGGCCTGGGTAGGAACAAGGGGATGGGGGTGGGTGTGGCCTGCAACAGGACTCACACTTCATTCAATCATCTGGCGTATTTGTCTGCTGTGCCCAGCTCTGTGCTGGCAGAGAAGGCAGGGCAGGGAAGATGCAGAGCTGCCCTGGAGGTGTAGCTTCCGGGCTGGCAGGGAGGCTGAGGGGAAACGGTCATTTTCAGTATTATGTGATGAGAGAGTGGTGAGCCCATAAGTGTGCTGATGACTCTAGGAAATGAAGTCCCAGGAACAAGATAACGTTAGAGAGTAAGAATTCAATGATGGAAGCTCACAGATGAATTGGGCTGACAATGATCAACTACCATCACTAATTAACCAACCAGTAGGATGAATGAAAATAAAAGGGCTCTGGAGTCCCAAGGACAGGAATCCAGGATAAATCAGAGGTTAGGAGGGGTGGGCTCATTGCCAAGGTGGATATGAACTGGGCCTTGAAGATTGCTTGAGTCAGGTGGAGAAAGAGAAGGTATGAAAAGAGTGGTTCCCACTGGACCAAAAGGTGCATGAGGGCGGAGATATTTAGCTTTTGTGCGTGATTGTATTCTTGCTTGGAATAGTGTTTAGCCCATAGTAGGTAAATAGTTGGTAAACGGAATGGTCTGACTTTGTCTGCAAAGGTGTCGGAGGCAAGCTCTGGACAACCTTGACTCTGGGGCGGGCAGGGAAGCTGCATCTCCTACAGGCCACCCCGGGGACCTCTGATGGTTCAGATCTTCTTTTCTTATTCTCATACCCCAGGGGCCCCCAATACTGCTGAGCTCAAGATCTGCCGAGTGAACCGAAACTCCGGGAGCTGCCTTGGTGGGGATGAGATTTTCCTGCTGTGTGACAAGGTGCAGAAAGGTACACACTAGGAGGCAGGGCTGGACTGTTTGGAGCAAGAGGTAAAGGGTGACACTGAACAGAGGTGGTAAATGTCAGATAACTGGCTTCAGACACTACCCGCAGTGCCTCGGAGGCTTCAGGTGGGCAGCAGGGTGACATATGTCAGGAGACAGGTATCAGAAGTTGGTGGGGGGAGGCTCTGGGGAGGTTAGACACGCTGACCCACACTGCTACCCCATCTCCCGCAGAAGACATTGAGGTGTATTTCACGGGACCAGGCTGGGAGGCCCGAGGCTCCTTTTCACAAGCTGATGTACACCGACAAGTGGCCATTGTGTTCCGGACCCCTCCCTACGCAGACCCCAGCCTGCAGGCTCCCGTTCGCGTCTCTATGCAGCTGCGGCGGCCTTCTGATAGGGAGCTCAGCGAGCCCATGGAATTCCAGTACCTGCCAGACACAGGTACACAGCTGGGGAAGGTAGCAGCAGGGCTGTCGGGCTCCACCCAGTGAGAGGCCAGGGCTGGATGTCTGGGGCTGTAGTTGAGGGAGGGCCAAAACCTAGAGTCAGAACTTGGGATTTACATGGTAATTGGAATCCATTTCTTGTTTCATTTACTAGTAATGACAGCCAAGACTTATTGAGCTTATACCACACATCTGCCCCTGATCCAGGCATTTCAGTGAATTCCCTGATTTTAATTTCTCATTAGCCTTTTGAGATAGGAAATATTGTCTCACTTACCTGAGCTCACATAGCTAGTGAGTGACAGAGTCAGCATTTGAACCCAAGCCATCTGGCTCCTGGGTCCTGTTGCCACGCTGTGTGTCTCTTGTCACTGTCATACAGCCCAGCCACATTTTGATCAAGACTTTGAATGCCCACTTGGGACCAGGGCGTGTGCTAGGTAGATGCTGGGAATTACAAAGTTGAATAAGACATTCCCTGCCCTTCAGAAGCTCAGGCCCATGAGGAAGACAAACATGCAAAACAGATCCTTAAGTCACAGAGTGCATGTGAAATGGAGCTGTGTGCAGCGTGCATGGGAGCACAGAGGTGGAGAGCTGGCGACAGCTCTGTGGAGGCGGTGGCATTTAACTTGGAGAAAGACACAGAAGTTCTCCAGGCAGGTGGTCCAGCACCTGGAAGGGCAGGGTGTTGGTGAATGCACGGCCTGTGCGGGGCATCTGTGCAGTGGGAGCTGATGTTGGGCAGTTAGCAGGCCCAGCCAGAGGAGGGCCTTGGTAGGCTCAAGGCCTTCATCCAGGGTTTCATCTGAAGGCAGTGGGAAGCCACCGAAGGTTCCTAAGCAGAGCAGTGCCATGAACAGATCTGGAAGTTCATTCTGGCGGCCGTGTGTAGAGGATCAAAGAGGGAGAGACTCAGAGCAGGGAAGCCATACTGGAAGATGTTGCAATAGTCCAGGAAGAGAAGAGTTGGTGTGAACCTTACACAAGAAATGGCAAAATGAGAAGATCACATCTCCTACTGCTGTCCTGCCTGGTTACCTGGCAGGACCATGGCTTTTTTGCACCTGACACACACCAAGCTCAGTCCTTTGGGATGCCTGGACCCCAGGTCTTCTCATGACTGGCTCACACCAGTCCTTGCCTGACCACCTCTAAATTAGACTCCCCGACCTCACTTCTGGTATTGTTACATTACCTTGTTTATCTTCCTTGGAGCTCCTGTCACTTCTTGAGATTTTCTTGTATGTGTCTGGGTTTTGTCCCATCCCTCTTTTCACTAGGATGGCAGCTTCTGGGGAGCAGGCACCTTGTGTGCTCACGGCCATATCCCCCGTGGCCAGGAGGGAGGCTGATGCATAGTAGGCACGTGATAAATATGTGTCAGTGAGTGGTGGGGAATTAGAAAAAGGAAGATACTGGGGATGATTCCAAGGTTTCTAGCCCTGGCGATAGGGCAGACGGATGGTCAGGGAACACAGGAGGAGAAAGAACCAGGTTTCTGAGGACAGAGGATAAGGTTGGCTTTGGACTGATGGAAGTGAGGTTCTTCGGAGTTACCGAGGTACTGCAGTGGTTAGACAGTTCTGAAAGCTATGACTGAAGTACCAAACCATTAGAGATAAGAATGAGAGTCTCTGCTGAAATCTTAATCAAGCCTGTTGTGCCTCAGCTGGCCCAGAGTATAGAGGTTACTGCCAGGCCAGGATCAAGGCTGGAGATGAGCCAAAGGCTAGGGCCCCCGTGAGGTCTCCTGTTCCCCCAGAGCCCCTTTGCTTGGCATCACCCATGTAGCCTTAGAGGGGCAGATTCAGCCAACAGAGGTTTCTCAGAAAGCTGTGGGATTCTTAGAACTGCTGAGTGTCAAACAGCATCACACAGCTTTTCTCATTTGCTGGGAACGTTGGGACATGGGTCTTGGGAAAGCCCAGCTCCTCCCTCACCTTCCTCCTGAAGGGCCTTTGAGAGTGTTGGGGGCCCAGCTGAGGAAAGCAAGTCCCACTTCTCCCTGTTACTTTCCCAGATGACCGTCACCGGATTGAGGAGAAGCGTAAAAGGACATATGAGACCTTCAAGAGCATCATGAAGAAGAGTCCTTTTAGTGGTGAGATGGGGAGTCGGGAGAGCCAGCGAGAAAAGGCAGTGGGCGGGGAGGGGACACCCTGGGGAGGCACACCCCAGGGGCTGAGAACTGACCCGGCCGTTGCCCTGCAGGACCCACCGACCCCAGGCCTCCACCCCGGCGCATTGCTGTGCCTTCCCGCAGCACAACTTCTGTCCCCAAGCCAGGTAAGGATTTCCTTTTGTCCTGCTATTACAGGTTCACATCTGTTCAGCCTGTGGTTGAGACATCTTCTGGGAGGGAGATGAGCAGAGGAATTGGCCTCAGCAGCAGGTGTCTGAAGCCTGTTGTCTATTGGGCCCGTGTTTCTCAGGGCGTGGGGCCTGATCACCTCCATCAGAGTCATCTGGGGAGCAGAGAGAGATGCAGATTCCTGGGCCCCATGACAGACCTGTTGAATCAGAGGCTTTGGAAGTAATGTCCCCGGAACCAGCAAATTCCTGGGATGCCAATGCATGCTGAAGTCTAAGAACCACTATGCCAGTTAAACCCCATATTGGATACCTTGGGATACAGAGTTAAAAGCACAGAATCTCTGCCCTCAACTCTCAGTTGAACTGGGGGAACAAAAAGAAAAAAAATCACGTCTAAAGTAGCAAGATGTATGTGCTGGTATGTGGCTCAAAAAAGAATGACAGGCCGGGCGCGGTGGCTCACGCCTGTAATCCTAGCACTCTGGGAGGCCGAGGTGGGCGGATCGTTTGAGCTCAGGAGTTCGAGACCAGCCTGAGCAAGAGCGAGACCCTGTCTCTACTAAAAAGAGAAAGAAATTAATTGGACAACTAAAGATATATAGAAAAAATTAGCTGGGCCATGGTGGTGCGTACCTGTAGTCCCAGCTACTTGGGAGGCTGAGGCAGAAGGATTGCTTGAGCCCAGGAGTTTGAGGTTGCTGTGAGCTAGGCTGACACCATGGCACTCTAGCCCGGGCAACAGAGTGAGACTCTGTCTCAAAAAAAAAAAAAAAGAAAAAAATTAGCCAGAAGTGGTAGTGCACACCTGTAGTCCCAGCTACTTTGGAGGCAAAGGCAAGAGGATGGCTTGAGCCCAGTTCAAGGCTGCAGTTAGCTATGTGATTGTACCACTGCACTCCAGCCTGGACAACAGAGCAAGACCCTGTCTCTTTAAAAAAAAAAAAAAAGTGACAAAGAGCTCACTTAAAGCTGCTACTAACTTGGTGCTCTGAGGGCTCATTGCCTCTCAAGGCTTGGTTTTTCAGCTGGAAAATGAGGAGATGAGCTAATTTCTGAAAGTGTCCCTTCCTCTAAAAGGCTGGGAGAGATTTAAGAGATCTGGGGTAAGAGAGCTTTGTGGGCTTGAGTACTCAGGGAGGGCTCAAAAAAGAAGCTGTGGCTAGAAGTGGACCCTATAAGCTGGGTAAGAGGAAGGAGCTAGGGTGATGGCAGAGACTCCACAGGAAGGGGTTGGTCCTAAGCATTATGGAGAGGGGCTGGGGTACAGAGGAGGGGGTGGGTCTCTGGGGCTTGCTCTGACCCTTGCCTCTCTGTTCTCTCCTCCAGCCCCCCAGCCCTATCCTTTCACGTCATCCCTCAGCACCATCAACTTTGACGAGTTTTCCCCCATGGTATTTTCTTCTGGGCAGATCCCAAGCCAGGCCTCAGCCTTGGCACCAGCCCCTACCCAAGTCCTGGCCCAGGTCCCAGCCCCTACCTCAGCCATGGCCTCAGCTCTGGCTCAGGCCCCAGCCCCTGTCCCAGTCCTAGCCCCAGGCCCTCTTCAGGCTGTGCCTCCCCCTGCCCCCAAGCCCACCCAGGCTGGGGAAGGAACACTGACGGAGGCCCTGCTGCAGCTGCAGTTTGATGCTGATGAAGACCTGGGGGCCTTGCTTGGCAACAGCACAGACCCAGCTGTGTTCACGGACCTGGCATCCGTCGACAACTCTGAGTTTCAGCAGCTGCTGAACCAGGGTGTTTCTATGGCCCCCCACACAGCTGAGCCCATGCTGATGGAATACCCTGAGTCTATAACTCGCCTGGTAACAGGGTCCCAGAGGCCCCCTGAGCCAGCTCCCAACCCCCTGGGGGCCTCAGGGATCCCCAACGGCCTCCTATCAGGGGATGAAGACTTCTCCTCCATTGCGGACATGGACTTCTCAGCCCTTCTGAGTCAGATCAGCTCCTAAGGGGGTGATGCCCGCCCTGCCCAGAGTGCTGGTTTGCAGGGGATTGAAGCCCTCCCAAAGCACTTACAGATTCTTGGAGGGGGGCGGTGCTCCAGCTGCCCCCAACTTCTTTGGTCTTCCAAAGAAGTTTTTGTCTTCCTTAGGGGGGGTTGCATTTTATTCTTTTATTGGCAGTATCTATCTCTCTCTCTTTTGGAGGTGCTTAAGCAGAAGCATTAACTTCTCTAGAAAGTGGGGAGCTGGGAGGATTTAAACTCTTTCTTCCCCTATCCTGATGGTCAGCTCCCTTCTCTCTACAGAAACTCTGGGGGCCCCCATCCCCATCCTCTGGCTTCTAGTACTCTCCTAGAGAGAGGAGCAGGCTGGAGCTATGGCCTTTGAGGCCACAAAGCCTTATTATCAAGTGTCTTGCTCACATGATGGATTCATTACACCTTGATCCGAAATAATGCCCCTCTATGGCACTGGCATTGTCCCTGTGCCTAACACCAGCATTTGAGGGGCTAGCCTTCCTGCCCTGCAGAAGTCTCTGCCAGCTTTCTTTGCTCAAACTATGTCTGAAGGGAACTGGTGGGGTAGTGCTGGCTCACTCTGGGATCCAGAGGGGATTAGGTCTGAGACTTCCCTGCTCCCCCTTTCTCAAGTGCCTTAGTGGGGTGAGTTGTTTCGAGAGTGGGGGAGGGCAGGCTGGCAGCTCTCCAGTCAGGAGGCACAGTTTTCATAGAAGAATCAAAATACTTGGACTCTTGCTCTTTCTACTCTGATTGAATAAATTTGTTGCCAAGCTGCCTAGAGATTTGCCTTCTTTCAGCAAACGCTGAGCACACACGTTGCTGGTCATGTCAGGCCCAACATCAGTGATAGTTGGATGAATATGCATGCACACTGTCACCTGGAAGCTTACAGTCTGAGAAAACCCTTTGAAACCCCTAGTTACAGTCCGGTGGATGAAAACAGGCAGCTGTGGAGGGTGTGTGTGGGGGGTGCTGTCCCACTGCATTGAGAGCCCATTGGCTGTGGGGATGGAGCAGTTTCACGGCAGTCTTCCCAGGGGTCCCATTAGTTCCAGGTCTTAGGTCAATAGAGGGGTGGATCTCGCAGAGGGGCTAGCCAGCGTTTGGAGTTGAGTTGGGTAAGAGAGACAATGTTAAATTCGATAGGGCCAGGCTGTGAACGATTCAGGAAGTGTGGGCTAAGAATTTCGGACTTCATCCCTTGGGTGGCCATGGGAGTGTTTGCCTCTGTTGGGGAAGGAGTGATGCTAGGTAAAGGTCTACACCTGTGCCACCTATGCTTTGATACCCTGTTCTGGGAAGACCGGTGAAATCTTAATCCACGGCCTCAGGAGGCCTAAAAAAAGGCCAGGCCACAACCCACGGGGTTACAGCTGGACGTACTTCCGGTTTGGCCAAGCGCACGCGCAGCAGCGAAAAGCACAGGCCACACGGGGGCCTGTCCTTTGGGCGCGCATGCGCACAGATAGCCTTCAGAGACGGAGAAGCTAGGTAACGCGCTTCCGGAAAATCCCTGTGCTGAGGCCCATGGCGTCCAAATTCCGGGCTTCGCACTGTTGCGGGACAGAGACAGCAGGGGCAAAGGGTTATCATTAGTGGGCCGCGCTCCAAAAGTTAGCGACTCTCCTGGGAACACGATAGGCCCTGGGTGCAAACTCCGACGGACGGTGCCCGCGAGAGAAGCTGCCGGGGGAGCGGAAGGCGTCTAAGAAGTCGAGTCCGCGCTCCGACCTCTAACTCGGGGGCGGGAGGTGTCAGGGGCGGGGACTGAAGCAAGAGTGAGCCAAGCCCAGCAGATCTGCGGCGCGAGGGGCGGAACCCGGGCCGGTGGTGGCCGGGTCAGGACCCCGGCAGACCTGCCGGGGAGTGCCTGGGAGGCGGGCTCGGGGCGGGGCCGAGCCGGATGAGAAGCCTTCTATGGCCGGAGCTGCGCGGAGTCCCAGTGAGCCCAGATCCTCCAGTCCAGGCTGCACCTCCCTCTTCTTGTCTTTCCCAGTCAGGCCCCACAGTGACCTCCAATGACCCCCAGAAACCCTCTCATGGTCCTTCTCACACTCCCTGAGTGATCTCATCATGCTCGTGGCTCACCAAGTTCTAAATCCTGTCTCCGCCCAGACCTCTCTTCCCTGCGCGCCAGCCCCTGAACATCACTCTGACATCCCTCAGGCCTGCCACATTCACCCCGTTCCAAATGACCTCAACCACGCCCAGTCTGGCCCCGCTTTCCCCTGTTGTCAGCCATGCCCTGCCACCCTGCCTCCAGGGGCTCCGGACAGAAACCTGGCCACTACGGTGGATACCACCTCTTCTCCCCTAGGAATTTGCATCCAATTCCTCATGAGGTCCTGGAAAATCTGCCCACTTCTGCCCATTGTCACCAGTACCTCCTGCCGGACTGCTGCTACAGCCTCCTCCCTGGCCTCCCAGCAGCCAAAGGGCTCTGACACTCAAATCTCACCCCGTCACTCTCCCTTTAAACATCTATCACCCACATGAGCAGATCCCAGTTCTCTGCAGACACACCCTCACAGAGTGCCCACAGCCTTCCGCACTGTCCATGAGGGCGGCTCACTATAGTCCACAACCAGTAAAAACTGGAACAGTCTTTGGAAATGCTAATCCAGGATCCCTAGTGCACCCTTCACAACCCCTTCTGATTCAGGTCCAGCTTCTTAGACCCTGGGGTCCTGCATGTACCCTGACTCCAGTCCAGCAGGCCCCAGACTGGTCCTACCAGATACCTTTGATGTCTCTGCCTGGTGAACTTCTACTTAACCTTCAAAATTCAGGCCTCATGTTACCTTCCCCAGGAAGTCTTCCTGATCCCCAGATGCTGTTTCTCAGAGCCTAGCTCATCCTGGCAGCACCTAAGTTAACAGATCCAGGGCCTAAGTCTCAGCAGTGAACTTCAACCAGCCTGGGGAAAGGACTGGCCATAGGCATGTGATGTTGGGCAAGTCAGTGCTCTGTCTGGGCCTCTGGTCCAGAAAACAGAGTTTAGACAAAGTCCAAGTTTGGACCTGATGATGCCATTTATGGGAAAGGCCCAGCCTGGTGAGGAACAGAGGGGGTGGCAGGCTGGTGAGCAGAGAGGAGTCATGGGCCAATTTCTTGTGGGACATGGAAAACCCCTCAGGCAACTGAGGCAGAGGAGCTGCTTCCTCTGGGATCACACCCTGTAGGATGTGGCCAGGTGGTTGAGGGAGTACCAGGCTTGGGGGCTGAGTGACTACAGAGAGGAGAGCAAGGCTTGCATGGGGGGGCAAGGCCATGTGAGGCATGGCCAGGCTCTCCTTGACCGCCAGGCTCCTCCCTCCCCTGCCCTGCAGTCTACCCTCTGTTCCTCTGCCCCAGATTTCAGCCCCTTAGGTTTGGTTCTGGGGCTTAAAGAACTAGCTGTGTGGGTATGAGGTATGGCCACCTGCTTCCCAACAGAACCAAATAAATGTTTGTGGGAGAGAAGCCAAGGGGTGGCCTAGCCTCTGAGACCCCTTCAGCGAGTGCCAGCTCAACGTTAAGCCAGTGTCCCCAGGCCTTGTTCTAACTGGTCCAGGGAGCTTGTCTGGGGGGCATCTGGGGGTAAAACCCCTTCCCCATGATTCTTTTTTTTTTTTTTTTTTTTGAGACAGAGTCTCACTCTGTTGCCCGGGCTAGAGTGCCATGGTGTCAGCCTAGCTCACAGCAACCTCAAACTCCTGGGCTCAAGCAATCCTTCTGCCTCAGCCTCCCAAGTAGCTGGGACTACAGGTACGCACCACCATGGCCCAGCTAATTTTTTCTATATATCTTTAGTTGTCCAATTAATTTCTTTCTCTTTTTAGTAGAGACAGGGTCTCACTCTTGCTCAGGCTGGTCTTGAACTTCTGAGCTCAAATGATCCGCCCGCCTCGGCCTCCCAGAGTGCTAGGATTACAGGCGTGAGCCACCGCACCCGGGCCCCCCATTGAACACATGTACAGATACAAATAGCAGTGGCTTCTTTACTCCCTGAAATCCCTTTTTCTCCAAAGAATATTTACAAACAGGGACAGGGTGGGGGCAGCTTCCACCACCAAATAACGGGCTGGGGAGTGGGGGGCAGTGCTAAGATGCGCCTCTGCGCAGGAAGAAAGTTCCTGAGGAGGGCCGAGGGCCCAGGATGACCCTGGAGCCCTCAAGGGCCCAGAAAGTTCCAAGCAGGCCCACAGCCAGGCTGAGGCTGGACGGGATGGCTCAGGCCAGGTCAGTGGTGGGGGAGCCCAGCTGCTTGGAGGCCAGGAGCAGGCGGGTGGCTGCGCTCTCCGATTCGGCCTGGAGCCGCCGGTTGTTGTGCCTCAGGCTCCGTACCTCCTCCTCCAGGGCTGCCCTGTCTGCCTTCTCCTGGGGCAGGCAGGGAGGAAGGCGTCAGAGCAGCCGACCCTGTTCCAGGGGCAGCCCTGTGACTCCCCACAACCCCAGCCCACCCCTCACCTTCTGCAGGTCCTCCTGCAGCTTCCTGAGCATGGACTCCAAGTGAGAGACCTTCTCTGACAGGCTCCCAGGCTCCGGCCTGAGGACATGGGGGTCAGGACTCAGCAGGACCAAGGCAGGCGCAGCACCATGGCCAGCCCCCAGCCCTGCCTAATGAGAGGGGCCCACCCTGTCTCCTCAGACTGATGCGTGTGTGGAAGCATAGCACAACTCCAGGGCACAGGCAGGAAGGTGGGGTCACATGGGCATGGGACAGGGGCTTACTCGGCATCAGACTTTGGAGTTCCTTTGGGGTCTCCACTCTCTGGGATGGGCTGTCCTATGGGGATAGAGGGACCAAGCAGGCAGGTCAGAAAGGGAGAAACAGCACCATCCTGGCTCCCACGCCCAGTGCCCTGGTGGCCTCACCCTCCCGGGACAGCGACTCCAGAATGGTGTTGCAAGTGGAGGCGATCTCTGAGATAGACTGCCACTCGTCCTCCAGGGTCTCGCTGGCTGCCTCCGACATGACTGCGGGCATGAGGAGTGGGCTCAGCCGGAGGACCCAGGAGCATCCCCTACTCTCCTCCTAGACCCTCCTACTCCAGACTCACTCTTGCTGATGGAGTTCCGCAGAGACAAGGTTCGTGGCAGAAAGGAGGCCCTCAATTCTGGGGCTGGGTCGCCCTTGTCCTCAGAACCACTGAGGCTGCTGGGCCCGTCCTAGAGGGCAGAAATGGATGTGGATTCAGTGATACCCATTGTCAGCACTGTGCCACTGGGCTCCAGAGCCTTGTTTCTGCTCACCTGGGTAGGGGGTGTCTCCCTGTCAGCGCTGGGTGTTGACGACTTGGCTGTGGTGGCCAGGAGGAGGTCTGGGGTGGTGTTGGGCAGGACTGGGGCCTCATCCGACAGGGAGCTGGGGAGAGCAGGGGGCTCAGAACTGGAAGCTGCTGTTACAGAGGCCTGGAGGGGAGGGAAGGCCAAGAGCATGCACCTGCGGGGCGAGGGCGAGTTCTGGCTGTGCAGGAACTCAGTCCGCTCCTCAGCCAGATCCCGAGGCCCTGGCGGGCTGCCATCATCTTGCAGGCACAGGTGCAGCAGCTGCTTTGTGACAGGCAGCAGGACCACTCTGGGGGCTTCCTCCTCCACTGGCTCTGGGGCCCCTCGCCGGCTGGGCTCTTGCAGAGACAGCCTGTACAGCTCCGAAAAGCTCCTGGTGGGGGAGGGGCAGGGGCAGTCAAGACTCTGCACTCCCTGGAGTCCTGCATCACCAGCCCCACCCCCAGCTGCTACCCAGGCACTTCCAGGGGGAGAGCTCCTCAAACGCCTGGACAACAGTGAAAA